TTACACTTTTGTCAAAAATCAGTTGGCAGAGATCTATCTCTTGGTCTATTTATATGTTCCAGGGATCAGGACCTGCTATCTTTGGTGAATTATTATTTAGTCTACTATAATAACTAAAACAATTTTGAATAACAAATTGGGAGGAATCAGTCTACAAATTTTAAGACATATTATATAGCTACAGTAATTAAGACCGTGTGATATTAGAGGAGGGACAGACACATATATGAATGAAACAGAATAATCAGATATCAGTAGGCAAAAAAAAAAACCTAATTTAATTTCACATCTTATATAAAAGTTAAACTCAAAATGAATCACAGATTCAAATACAAAATGTAAATCTATAAACTTAGGGAAAAAAAGAAGGAAACATTTAGAATCTTGGCCTACTGTGATGGTTAATTTTATATATCAACTCAGATGGGCCAGGTGTTTGGTGGAACACTAGTCGGGATGTTTCTGCGAGGGTGTTTTTTGGATGCAATGAACATTTAAGTAGGGGACTTTGAGTAAATTAAATTGCTTCCCATAATGTGGGTGGGCCTCCTCAAATCAGGTGAAGGCCAGAATAGACCAAAAGGCTAATTTCCCCAAAGCAAGAATAAATTCTGCCAGCAGACAACCTTGGAATTTGAATTTCAATACTGGCTCTTCCCTGGGTTTCCAGCCTACCATCCGCTCTGCAGATCTTGGACTTTTCAATCTCCATAATCACATGAGTCAAATCCTAAAAATAAATCTGTCGTATATATAATGTATACGTGTGTGTATGTGTGTAGATACATACATACACCCTACTGGTGCTGTTTCTCTGGAGACCTGACTAAAACAGCTATGCTGTTAAGAGGACAAGACAAGGTATACACTGGGAGAAAGTATTTCCAAACCACATATCTGACAAATGACTAGTATCTACACTACATAAAGAACTGTCTAACTCAAGAGTACAAAAACAAACAGTCCAATTACAAAATGGGCAAAAGGGGGCACCTGGGTGGCTCAGTCAGTTAAGCATCGGACTCTTGGTTTCAGCTCAAGTCATGATCTCAGGGTCATGGGATTGAACTCTGTCTTGGGCTCTGCACTCAGCACGCGTCTGCTTGAGATACTCTCCCTCCCCCTGCCCCTCCCCTTGCTCACACTCTCTAGTAAATAAAATCTTAAAAAAAGAAATACAAAAAAAGAAAATGGACAAAAAACATTTCAATGGAAAGGATCTATTGATGGCAAATGAGCATTTGAAAAGATTTTCAACATCATTAGCTGTTAGGAAATGCAAATCAAAACACAAGATATTATTACAAACCATCAGAATGGCTTTAAAAAAAAAGTGACAAATGTTGATGTGCATGCAGAGAAACTGGATGATGGACACTGCTGGTAGGAATATAAATGGTAGAGCCACTCTGGAAAACAGTTTGGCAGTTCCTTCAAAAAGTTAAACATGCATCTACCATGTCATTAGCAACACTCATGGGCACTTATGCCAGACAAATGAAAAGTTATGTTCACCCAAAAACTGTGCAGAAATGTATATATATAGCAGCTTTGCTTTCAATGGCAAGAAACTGGAAACCTAGATGTTCTTCATTGGGTTAAATGCGAGACGAAGTGTGGTACATCCAGACCACAGAAGTCTAGTCAACAACAAAAACAACAAAATACACAATCAACTGGATCAATCTCCAGAGAACTATGCTGAATGGAAAAGCCAATCCCTAACAGTATATAGCATATGATTCCATTTATATAACATTCTTGAAATGACAAAATTATGAAGATGGAAAACAAATTAGTGGTGGCCAGGGGTTAAGGAGGGAAAGGCATGGGAGGGAAGAGAGTGTGGCTATAAAAGGGCAACATAAAGGATGCTTGTGGTGACAGAAATGCTCAGTATCTAGGGGCGCCTGGGTGGCTCAGTCAATTAAGCATCTGCCTTCAGCTCAGGTCATGATCCTGGGGTCCTGTGATCGAGCCCTGTGTTGGGCTCCCTGCTCGGCTGGAAGCCTGCTTCTCCCTCTCCTCCCCACTTGTGCTCTCTTTCGCTATCTCTGTCTCTCTCTCTCTCTCAAATAATTTTTTTTTTATTTATTTATTTTTTTTTAATAATTTTTTTATTGTTAACTCAAATAAATTTTTAAAAAATTTAAAAAAAAAATGCTCAGTATCTAGACTGTACAAATGCCAGTATCTTGTGATATCATAGCATAGTTTTCTGGCAATGTAAGTCAGAAAAATGAAAATATCCTGACAGAAACATGAAGGGGGAAGGGAGTAGATACTGGCTGGAAGGACTCAAGGTTAGTACAGAGGTGTATACATAAGCGCAAATCCATCAAGTCATGCATTTAGGACTATTCCACTGGATTGTACGCAATGCCTCAATAAAAGATTATTTTAAATTGCCAAGTGTAATTAATCTTATTCACTGTGATGACCCTGACTATGTATAAATGTTCTCAATTGTCTGTAAATTTATTAACAATGAGTACCTTTTAGCAGAAGCAGTTTAGGTATAATGCTGGAGCCAGAAGCCCTACTAGAATAGGTTAAGGAGTGAGTAGAAAATGATGAAATGTAGAGAAGCAAATATATACAACTCTTTCCAGAGGTTGCCAGTAAAGGGAAAGGGTGATAAAGTGATACTCAGAGGGGAAGGTATTGTTGAAAAGCTTTACTAAAATGGGAAAAACATGAGCAGATTTAAATAAGGGAGAAAACATGGTAAATAATCAGTCTAAAGCCATATGAGCACAATGCTGCATAATCTTTAGCAAAAGGTTTGTGAAAAATGGGGGAAAGCAGATCTGAAGAGACTGCCCTTGGATAAGAGAGGCAATGCTTGCACTGTACAAGATAAGGGAAAGGGAACTGCTGATACAGGTGTACTTACAGATTTGATGGGGGAAATAACAATAAATAACAACAGAAACTACAACAGCTCTCTTTGTAAGTACTGAATACTTACTACGCTAGCCAGCCCCAAGATGGCCCCCAACGATCCTCCTCTCCTGACATTCGTATCCCTATGCTGTCTCCTCCCACACAGAATACAGCTGAAATGTGTAACCAATAGGAAACGATAGTGTGTGACTTCCAAGACTCTGGCTTTTAAAAGACAATGCCTTGTTCCATCTTGGACTGCTCCCTCTGAGGGAAAGCTGGTCTACATCATTCAAGCATCATTCTTCAGGAGGCACAACTAGCTGCCTGCCAGTGAGCCATCTCAGAAGCAGCTTCCCAGCCCCAGCCAAGCCTTCATAATACTATAACCTCATGAGACCCTAAATCTTTAAAACCACTCAATTAACCTGCTTCCGAGTTACTGAGCACAGAAACTGAGATAATGTTTACTGTTTTAAGCCACTAGACTTAAGAGTAATTTATCAAGTAGCAATAGACACATAATGCATTTATGCACAAGGCATAGCTCTAAGTATATTAGACATAGTAACCCACTTAATCCTCAACAACCCTGTGATCCCCATCTTAAAATGAAGAAACTGAGACACACAGAGGTGAAGCACTTTGCCCCAATTATGGCACAGCTGGTAAGTGGTATGGAACCGGATCCAAATCTAAAGCCAGCACTATCAACTGCTGTGCAGTACATCCTCCCCAAAGCCAGAGTTTCCATCCCAAAGCTTTTATTTAGGCTGTGAGATAGAAAGCAAGGTTATCTGAGATAAGAGAGCAGGGAAAAACATGTGAATGAGAGAAAACTGGAAAAAGTGAAAAAGTTTTAAAACACTTCCCATGACAAAGTTAGGAAAAGGACCTGCTAGAGAGATCTAACAGGATTTCCAGTGTTAGGGGCTCAGGAGAGGTTAGGAGCCATGAAGTTCCATGCAGTGAATTCAAGATGAGCATGATGAAGAGAACCCAGGACTGCTAGTGTACCTAAATATAAAATGTAATCTGAAGTGTGCAGTAACAGTGATGGTTACCGGTAACAGAAAACACATCTTTCCCAGGTCCCGCTAGTTCAATAAGGAGCATGAACAGAAAAATTCCAGAAAACATTACATATCCTATGTCAAAGTATCACATAAAGACTAAAAAAATAGAAGCCTGCTAAGACACATGATGGTAAACTGATAGTGCTACTTCATATAACTGCCTCGATCTCAAACATCAGAAGTTTCTCTAGAGAATCTTTCCTTTTCCTTATTTTCATTCAAAATGTCACAAGAAAAATTAAAAGCTACAGGAAGAACAAACTGGTTCAATCACAATCAGACCACATCTAAGAGCAGCCTCACAAATACTGACTTAACTTGATGAATAAATCTTATAAAAGAACTTTAGGCCAAAAATTTATCAATTTTCAGTTTCACTTAAAATTAGACTTATCCAAATACATTCAAGTTCAATTTCCTGCATTTGCTTTTAAAATTATTCCACTTGACTTGACAAACTGGTATAAACTAATCTCAAAATAAAGTTAGGTAAGGGGGGGATCAAACCATGGACAAAAAATTTTTTTCAGGCTAATGTTCCAGTCAAGCAAGTGTATATATTTAGACACTTAAGACACAAAAGTACAAGAATGAAGGTAAAGATTTGTGAGCTCTGTATTTTTTTTTAAATATTCAAGGTTAATAAACCAGTTTCAAAGAAGAAGTAGCTAACATTCCAGGGATATCTTTCCTCATATGCCCATTATTACCTGAAAACTTACCGGAAACCAGTCAAAATGAGTACAGTTAGAAAACAGACTTTGTCTAGTAAAAGAAATATCATCACTGGGTAAGTTAAGTAAATCCTTCCTACCCTATGCAGGATCAATAGAGAGGAAAAAAAAAAAAGAAACCATAAGGTCAGCCTTTATGAACTCCACAAGTTATTACACTATTCTCCATCTCATTAAATCAGGATAGAACCCGTGTATTCTAAAAGCAAACAATTCCTAACTCCTACAAAGATTTTAAGTAAAATCTGTAGCATTTTTGTTATGGTGGTGGTTAAGTGTTCCATCATTCTACTTTTCATCTTACCCTTATCTGTTCAGTGGAGCTGCTGCTAAGTTCATCGCCAGACTCAGAATCCTGATGTACTCTTTCCGAGCCTTCTCCTGCTGAATCACAAGACTGTTCCTGGGAGAAGCTAGTTTTCTCTACATCCAAGAACTCCGGGCCGGGAAAGTGACCAAATAAGCGCGTCCTATTCTGGCCAGAAACTTTAGGAGAATGTGAGTCACTGTTAAACTTTCCGTTATTATGGGTCAAGTCCAGGCTTAGGTTCACAGTCTGACCTGGATTATAGTTGGGTCCAAAATTCTGATTTGCATCACGAATGAGACCTGTTCCTTGAACAGACGATGATGGCTTTCCAAAACTTGAAAGCTCAGGCAATTTGTTCACATTTTCTGTTGACCTCTGAAGATGGAGACTCTGTATCATTTTCATAGAATTATTTGGCAGTCCAACTGCTTGTTTAACAGGCGGCATGAGAGCTTTGCGGGTGACCTCCTTAACATACTGGGCTGGCACATAGAACGCCTTGGAGTTCTCATCTGGTTTGACTTGCCACCAGTCATCATTGGTCTTTTTCACCAAGATGTATCGTTCCCCTTGTTTTATCACAATCTTTCTGTCCTTGGCTTCATATTCATAATCATATTCCACTTCAATGTACACTTGTCCTGGAATAATCTTCCCACTTCTGTCAGCCATTTTTATTCAGCAATGTTCACCTCTCAAACAGGATGGTATGCCACATTATGGCTTTACCGCTTGTTGTATTAACAGAGCTATTTTTATTTAAGTGGAGGAAAAGAATGAAGAAACCGTTAACACAGCCTGGATTTTTAAGATTTATTCACAAGCATCATATAATACAGGCACTTAAAGAATATTACCTTCAAATCTCAAACCCCAGAAAGTAAACATGTGTCTAATATCATATGTATTGTCCTATATTAAAAACACTCACTCTAACTGTAATCTATATTTTCTAGTCATTTATGAACAAAAACAAACCAATTACTGGAACAGTAAATACCCTACCAGCCAGACAGAAAATATCCAGAAAACAAGAGCTGAGAACTTTCCTTCTTTTCATAACTACCTCAAACCTCCTTCACTTTCTTAGGCTAATAACAAATACGTATTAGGCACTTACCAAGGGCCAGGTGCTGAGCTAGGTTCGCTTAGCTAAGATATTCTTTCAAGGTGAGGCTGAATTTCAATAACCCTGTACCCTTTATTTTCTAAAATGGTCAAGGGTATTAATGAGCTTAAAAAAAATTATCCAATTATACAAGTTTCCTTTCCTAACATAAACAGATAAAAAGGACAGCACTGTTATTGTTAGGCAAAGTATGCACACAAAGAAAACTAGCTTACTGTTCCCTCTTGTGTCTACCTCAGGAGGGCCACAATTCTTGTCGGACTGAATCCCACAAATGCAAATAAATTAACCAGTCTTTTTATCTGTATATGTTAAAAATTGTCACCCCCTCCACCAAAGTCTATTATAGAAATATCTCTAAACTGGCTTGAGAAATCTAGGGATTCATTTTTTTTCTCTACCAATTCCAAAATAGTTTAGTACCTCAGAGAACACGGTACTCAAGCTTCAAAGTGATCACAGCCTCTCGATACTGCTAAACTCAAGTCAAGCCCCAACCATGAATGTGTTGTGCTGAATTGTGTTTCCCAAAAAAGGATGTTTAAGTCCTAACCTCAGGACCTGTGAATGTGACCTAATTTGGAAATAGGATCTTTGCAGATGTAATCACTTTAAGTGAGGTCATACATGATTAGAGTGGGACCAAAATCCAATGACTGGTGTTTTTATAAAAAGAGGGGGATTGGAGGCAGGGAGAAGAGACCCAGAGAGGAAAGGCGGCTACGTGAAGGCAGAGGCAGAAACTGGAGTGAAGCAGCTGTGAGCAAGGAAGCCCACGGACTGCCAGCAGCTACCACAAGCTAGGGGGAGGCAAAGGAGGATTCTTTCCTAAAGCCTTCATAGAGGGAGCACAGCTCTGCCAATGCCTTTCTTTTGGACATCTAGCCTCCAGAACTGCAACAGAATAAGTTCCTATTGTTTTAAGCCACCCAGTGTGTGGCACTTTGCTACAGCAGCCCTAGGAAACTAATATTCAGCCCAAAGCTCAAGGGTCCCCAGGCAAACCTAAGCAATTCTGAATACTGAGATGTACCAGAAACGTGTAAATCCAAGGTCCCATGACAACCTACCAATCTTCTTCAGCATCCAACTGCTGGGTATCATGTTACTGGGTGCTATATGTGCAGCTGACAATCATTCTCCTGAAGACAATTTTCTTCTCTGTAACAGACAAAGCCCATAATCCCAGGTGATAAATAAATCAGTGATCCAATTTCATTAACAGAAATTTACTTTCTAGAGAAACTATGTGGATAACAAATTTAATATAGTAATGTTTCAAAAAAGAAAAGAAAAAAACTTACCTTAAAAGAAATAAATATCCAGTATTACATTTAAACCTATAAAAAAAAATAAAGTTCATTAACGTTAGGCAGGATTGCTTTAAGAAGGCTAATAATATAACGTTGCTCATGTTTTAGAAGAGCTGTAATGGGTTGCTCACATTTTTATAACAGCCACGTTATGTATCACAATTGTGTTGAGTGCCACCCTCCAAAGTGTACAAAAACAAGGTATGCTTCCACACGGCCCCTTCCTACTTCACTTCCACATAATTTCAACTTTTCTGCCCTTTATTTTTTATTCTAACAAATATTTTTTTTAATTTCTAATAATATGAGAAACAACTTTTGTAAAATTGTTAAAATGACAGAACAGGTTTTCAAGTTTATGGTATGGAGTGGACAGAGAGAATGAAAACAAAGACTAAAAGCTACTGGGAGTCCTAAGATACTTCCCCACAGACTACTTACTAACTATAAATAGAGAAATATACCTTTATATAAGAGAAATCCAGCAGTCATGAGCTTAGCCAAGTGATCAAACTTAATTACACCAACAGTGGGACAACCTTAATGATAAATGCCTCCTAATGTGATGCACACAATGTTACCTAAGTTGTATTCTTGTCAAAAACATGTTAAATCTAAGCTAATTATTAGAAAACAATTCCAAAGTGTAAGACATCCTATTAGATAACAGACCTGAACTCTTCAAAAAATTCAATTTTATAAAAAATGAAGAAGGGAGGAAGATTCTTCTACATTAAAGGAGACTACTGAAACACAGAAACCAAATCCACTTAGTGTTCTAACAAGTACCTAAAACTTACCATATCCAAAATCTACTTCCTTTCTCTAACCCACCCCTGCCCTGCCAAGTCTGCATGGTCTCTCCCGTAGCGGTAAATAGAGAATATAACCTTCCAAATGTTCAGCCTTTACTTTCACTTCCAGGACATTAGTCACTATGTGCTTTAATCCTTGCACCTACATAAAAGTTTTTCACTACAACTTTTCAAAACCCCACACTGAAGTACTTATCCTCAGGTGATCTTTTTTTTCTTTTTCTTTCCAGGAAATAGTAAAATAACTTAAGCAACATCTCTGAGTTCAGATGTACTATAACTAGTCAGATATTTAGCCACAGGAATGGAGAAAAGGAAAGTATGAAGAGTAACAAAAAAAACTGGACATCACGCTAGTAGCAGGGAGGCTGGGCATTGGGGAGCAACGACAGGTTAAAAGCCAGTCCGAGTTCAGCCCCTTTCACTGCCAAGCTTTGACTACACCTTGCCCAGTGACCACGAAGATAAGTACGAAGGAGGAGCTAGGGAGAAAGACAAGTCAATTCACCACGTTCACCATGAGACACGCAATCTAAGCTTTAAAGAAAATGAGATTGGAAGGACAAGGAAGTTGGGGAAGTAGTCAAAAACTTCTATACATAAAAGGTAGTTGGATATCAAGGCAAGCAACATGAACAAGAGTAGACACAATGGGATAAGAATAGGAGAACTAGAGCCGAGATCATTTTCTAGTTATAACACTGGGGTAGTGAGATGGGGAATGAAACTGGGAAGCTCCTAAGAGAGACTAATAAAATTATAAACTTCCAGGAAGTCACATAGCAGGAATTATGTATCACAACCCAAGGTCTGGCCAAAGTTACATAAAATAAAAAAGAGAAAAGCCTTATTATAAACTATGGATTCAAAGAAAATTAAAACAATTGTGGGGTAGCTCTAAAAACTCAGAACTAAGTGAAAATTATCTGCAAATGTGTAAGTTATGTTGCCTAATTTTATTTAAAAACAGAAGTTATATTAAAAAAACAATTACCTTTTTTAATTTTTCATTTGCTTGTTTCTTTCTCTGTTTTCTAAACTTGTGAATTCTTCTCTTCCGATTAGGTTAACACTGTTTATCCTGCTATCTTATCCTCTCAAGTATTTTGGTTAGAATCTTACTCATCCAACTATAAGCCCTCTGAAGGCAACTCTCCTCCAGTTGAAATACAGTCTGTACTCATCACCACACTCCTCCATCCATATTCATCACGAGTACACTTACAACTAATTACCCAACCACCAATACATATAAAGTTTTGCACATCTACTGCCCAGTACCAACCACTGCTTTACTTGGCAGTTTCAAAAATACCCACATAGGCTTTCCATGCCTCTTACCAGTCTTCTTCCTCATGTTTCAACAAGAACAGATACACACACAGTTGCTTACATCTTTTACTTCTCTTCCCCCACGTCAGATTCAGAACTGCCTATGAGGCTATTTTAAAATTTAATAGCCTCCTCCTTTGTCTGCCATTTTTTCTCATTTTCTTTCCTACCAAAAATTACACACCTCAGCACTTATTTCCTTTCCCCCAGGACACCTGTTTTAATCAAGTGCATCTCTCAGCATGATATCTTTACTAGGTATATCAAAAAAGTAAACAAGGAAACACAATCTTAAGAGACATATAGTAAATGTCTCTTTAAGACATTAATTATGTCATCCATAATTAATAAGTCTACAATTTTTTTGGAATGAATCTACACGTTAAGCTTAATACACAGATATACAACCAATTTAGCAATTCTAGTGCCATGAGCAACAAGATATTAATATACCCTCACACACGTAATTATTAACCAACTTAAAAATACAATTTAAGCCATTATTCTTGATGTGAAGTTCTCCAAGAAGTTTTAAAAAGTACTTGCTTAAAATGAAGAATCCCTAAACAGGCCTCTACTAAAGAAATCAATTAGGGGCGCCTGGGTGGCTCAGTCGTTAAGCATCTGCCTTCGGCTCAGGTCATGATCCCGGGGTCCTGGGATCGGGCCCCGCATCGGGCTCCCTGCTCAGCGGGAAGCCTGCTTCTCCCTCTCCCACTCCCCCAGCTTGTGTTCCCTCTCTCACTGTATCTCTCTCCGTCAAATAAATAAAATAAAGAAATCCATTAAACTTAATGAGGACAACAAATGGTTAAGAACAATTCCAGTATTAAGTTTCAGAATAAGAAATTATACCAAATAATTTTGTAAACTGTATACTTGTTCAACAAAAAAATCATAGGCCCCTAGTGAGCGCTTAGTTTTTCATAATGCATGATCCTTATTTTCCAAGAATAAAAAAGTATAGAATATAAGACATTTCTTTAAGTCTAAAGAAGAGAAGGAAAATAGTGATTGATATTATCAACTATGCTAGCCATAAAGAAATAGCAAAATGGGGACAGCAGAGGGATAACAGGAAATAACTGGGTAACTGGAAAGCAGGAGAGAACATAGTCAAACATAAACTAGTAAAGGAAATTCAAAACCAAGATTTAAATCCGAAACAAAAATGAGGAAACAACAAAAGAAGCATTTGGGGAAGCAAGCATATTTTACTAAAAATGACATCTGCATGGGGTATTTTAGGGCAATTCATGCCATGAAGTCTTAGTCAGAAATAAGGGTGGACATAATAACTTTTTCTTGGATTGTTACAAGAATGGAGAAAATATTCCAATTTAAAAGAGAAGAAATATGACCTTGGGTTTGACAATGAGTTTTAAGATATACCACCAAATACACAACCCATAAAAAAAAAATTAGGACTTTATTAAAATTAAAAACTTCTGCTTTGTGAAAGACACTGCTAAGAGAATAAAAATGTCAACCACACACACAAAAAATATACTTTCAAAGCACGTATCTGATTAAGGACTTGTATACCAAATATACAAAGAACTCTTAAAAGTCAACAAAAAGAAACCAGTATGGAATGGGTTCTGAATGGAATGGAAATGGGAAAAGGATCTGAAAAAGATATCATGAAAGAAAACATACAGATGGCAAATAAGCACATGAAAAGGTGCTCAACATTATGTCATTAGGGAATTACAAATTAAAACAAGACACACAGCACATACCTATTATAATGGCTACAATCCAAAAAACTGACAACACCAAGGGCAAGTGAGGATGTAGAGCAACAGAACTTTCATTCATTGCCAGTAGGAATGCAAAAATGGTTCAGCCACTTTGAAGACAATTGAGGAATTTCTTACAAAGGTAAACATGGTCTTGCCACCCGATCTAGCGATCACACTCCGAGGTATTTACCCAAATAAGCTGAAAACTTATGTCCACAAAAGGCCCTGCGTGCAAATGTTTACAGCAGTTTTATTTATAACTGCCAAAAACTGGAAGTACCCAAGATGTCCTTCAATAGGAGAAAGGATAAACAAACTGTGAGACATCCAAACAATGGAATATTATTCAGCAATAAAAATAAGGCATCAAGCTAAGAAAAGACACAAATTAATCTTAGATGTATTTTGCAAAGTGAAAGAGACCAGTCTGAAAATGCTACATACTGAATGACTTCAAGCGCATCACATTCTGGGGAAGTCAAAACCATAGAAACAGTGGTTGCCAGGAATGGGAGGACGGGAGGGAGGGTTCCATAGGTGAAGCACAGGAGATTCTCTTAGGTCAATAAAACTATTTTGTATGATCCTGTAATGGTGGATATATGACACTGCACACTTGTCAAAACCCATTAATCTTTACAACACAAAGCATGAAATTTCATGTACCCAAATTTAAAAAAAAAATCATTCAGGAGGTTGGGGGAATCACAGGATTTCCCAAGAAAGCAGATAAGACAAGATAGTCTAACAATATGACAAATAAGGGGCGCCTGGGTGGCTCAGTTGGTTAAGCGACTGCCTTCGGCTCAGGTCATGATCCTGGAGTCCCGGGACTGAGTCCCACATCGGGCTCCCTGCTCTGCAGGGAGTCTGCCCTCTCGTGCTCTCTATCTCTCACTCTCTCTCTCCCTAATAAATAAATTAAAAAAAAAAAATATGACAAATATACAGAACAACCTCTGAAGGAGGATGCTGACCTAACTTATCTTGGAAATAAGTGGGCTCTATAAGAATATAGGCAAAGAAACTACACATAAGTACTGTATTCTAAGCTGATAAAAACATTTCTCCTGGGGGTACAAGTCAAAAATCCTGATACTGCCATATATGTATACTAGAATTAAATAATTAATTA